TGTGAAAAATTTTTACTAATTAACAAACCCACGAGTACTTAACCTTATTTGAGGAGAGGAAGTGTAAAATAGGGGTGCAGGTGTGAGAAAAACCTATGTGAGATGCCTAAAAGCCTGATCACACACGCCGCGCTGCCAACAACAACTTGCATACTTATGCACACCTCTACATTTTTTCTAAATTAAAAACTTATACAAGCGCATTTTAATACACATACCCACACAAATATATGGATGTATACTCGTATACATACAAAAGTACTTCCGATAACATTTGTGCATTTTACTGCATTTACAAGAGTGTGACCTTAGAAAAATGGCAACGAGAAAAGAACAAACAAAGAGTCAAGTGTTAGTGGGGGAGAAAAAATGTAAGTGAACTAAGTGTCTTTAATGAGTTTTTCAACGACGGCAATCACTCTCGCATACTTACACATGCTCACACGCTCAAACACATACACGCCGACACACACACACGCGCGCGCAGCTAACTTTACAGGACTTTTACTCACATCAGCAGAGTTCTGAGTTTACTATGTTTGTTAGCTTAGCTAAAGGCGAAGAGTACGCACACTTATTTAGGTATGTGTATAATCGGTACACCTGAGTTTGGCATTATTGTGCGCGTATAAAGGGTGATTTTTTAAAAGCTATAAGAAATTTTTTCAGAAAACAACTCATAAAAATCAGAAAAATTCACGAAATCTTTATTTGAATCGTCCAAATAATTAAATGTTTGAAGATTATTTAATGCAAATGTTGACCGTGACTGCACCTCCAATTGTCCATCCGCTTAGTTCAATTTTGCCATGCTCTTTCCAACATTTCGGCCGGTAGCTCACGAATAAATGCTTCAATGTTGTCCTTCCATGCGTCAATTGAAGCGGGCTTGTCTGTATAAACATCAGATTTAACATAACCGCACAAAAAATAGTCTAAAGGCGTTAAAGCGCACGATCTAGGCGGCCATTTGACTGGTCCTGGACGTGAAATAAAATTTTCACCGAACTCGCCTCTCAATAATTCCATTGTTATACGTGCTGTGTGGCCATGTTGCACCGTCTTGTTGAAACCACATGTCATGCAAGTCAAGCTCTTGCATTTTGGGCAAAAACAGTTGGTTTGTAAGACGATTCATGGTTAAATTATAGACCCACCGGAAGATATTTGACAGTGATGCAAAATACGAAACGTGCATCAGCTATTTAAACCACTGTTGCCAAAAAAGGTAATAGCTAAAAAGTCACCTTTTATAACAAACTGATCCGAAAAGTACTAGTCGCGCACTGGTTTGAAATCACTATTACTAATTCATTTCGTAGAATTTTAATAAAAAAAGTTTCGTAATTTTAGTATAATTATTGATATTTTAAAAATATAGCAAACAAATCATAAAATTAAGTATTGAAAAAACTTTTGCTCAACTTTTGTGCACAATAAATTTTAATTTTTATTATTATTATTAATATTAATATTATTATCAAAATCAGATAATTTAACAATTAAATATTTAATATATATATTTTTAAATTTTTGAACCGAACTAGTTTTCTTTATATTTGCACTAGTTTAGAGCTGTATACTTCTAACCAATATCTGTTAGAAGCGTGCACACCCACAAGCATCTGCTAATGCAGGTTTGTTTGCATTTGGGTACTGAAGAAGAATATTGAACTGCAAACCTTAGCAAATGTACTCCTTCTTAAAGTGCTTTAACATACACACAGCACTAATTCTTACGATATTACCAACCGAAGTTGTTCTACACCGGAATATCTGAAGAACGATTAATATATGTATGTTGTAGTTTGCCAACAATTTTCTATTTGAGTTTTCGTGTTAATTGCAATGTCGGAAATTTTCGTCAAACTTTCAACAAAGTACATATGTACATACATTTCACTCTAGTCGGCGCTGTAGGCAATTTTTTTCTTTCTTCTTTTCCTGTTTTCTGCGATTAAGGTATGACCTGATTGTTGCTGGCAGTTGCAATTATAATTGTACTTAGCTTGGTTGCCATCAAGCGTGTTCGCTGATTAAGTGCGATTATTAGTTTTCTTGTGAAGGTGTCTATGAGTACCGTGTAAGGAGAGGGTTGAGACTGCGTTGCCAAACTCTTAATTTTTTCTTATTTTGAAGATAAATTCAGCATGTCTAAAAGGAGCTAGTATACAACTAGCACTTAGCTGAGGCATAGCTTCTTTTTGATATAATACAAAATAATTTTGTTTCAATATTCTTTCTTTCTTGGAGAAAAAGTTTTGAACACTTTTTATCATCAATTTTTGAAAAGTTTTTGTTAGCAACATTTTTCATAAATTAATTTCATCAAATTATTTGTAGTAAAATTTTTTTAACACGATTTTTTTCGATCGCGACAGTTTTTGCCCGAGTTTTTACTTTAGAAAATAATTTTTTTTTTGGCAACAAAATCTAAGCAGAATTTTCATGAAAGTTTTTTTAGCTACATTGTGTAGTAAATTTTTGTCACCAATATATTTTTGTCACAATTTTTTGTGCAACAGAAGCTCCGAGAGATTGGTTGGGATGTTCTTATGCATCCACCTTGTAGTACGGAACTCGTATCAATTGATTACTATCTGTTCTTGATTTGGCTGGTGAAGTATTAGCTTCTAGGAAAATCTGTGAAAATCGATTGTCACAAAATTTTTCTAAAAGAAGAAGGGTTTCTATGGGAGAGACATAATGGCGTTACCTTCAAAATGGAAAGTCAAAGAGAAATTTAAAGCGTATTTATGTTCCAATTCGAGTGCCTGGGCAGTCTAGTAATTAATATAAAGAGAAATTATAAACTAAATGAACCTTTTCACCGATTGTGTCACGATTTTAATTTTCATTTCAATATCTTCAACCTCTCAGACTAAACTAAACACAAAAAATCTGTTCTAGCTTCTCTCAACTATTATATAGATATAAGGGGTTTTACAAAAGTTCGGAAGGTTGACCAGAGAAAACAGAAAAATATTAATTTGTATTTATTCGTAATCTTTTTTATTTTTGACCTCCTCTACATAATCGCCATTGACTTCAATGAATTTCTTAATCCTGTAGATCCACTTCTGAAAACAGTCTTCAAAATCTTACTTTTTTAGCTTATGAAGTCCTCGGTGCTATTGCTTTCTGGAGCGTACTTGTAGAACCGAGAACGTCACCAGTAATGACTTTACTAAAGCTGCTAGACGGACTATTTTGAAACTTGTTTAGGAGAAATTTAGTAAAGAGCACTCGAGCCTCATATTGGGCTCCATTTAAAATTCGTGGTATCCATCGAACAGATTTCTTCCTGTTTCCCAGATGATTACTTAATATTCCCGATTCAGCCGTAGCATTCAATCCCACTTCAATCATTACTGGCTTCCATCGTGGGTCTTCGCTAATTCGTGGAAGATGTTGGTCAACTTTCTCGGAGCTCGTCCTTAACAAAAATGTCCGGTCTGGAGTTTTCGAAACCAATTGTTGTTCCTTTTGAGCCATGCGAAAGAAAAGATCTACACCAACAGCCCAACGTCCATTCAAAACCTTAGAGTGAAAGTTCGTGAAGCTATTGAGGACATAAAGCAGCCCCTTTGCGATCTGGATATGGAAAGTTTCATAAAAAGGATACGGCTCTGTAAGTGGCCATTTGGCTGATCTTCCTTTTTATATTGAAATAAAGATCCGAACATTTATCTCAAAAAATGCAAATTTCTTTTAATTATCAATATAACATCCATTATTGATAAACCCTACCTATCAAACTATAAGTTCCTTGGTACAGATCCACAAATCTCAAAAATTTAGCGACTGATTGGTTTGAAAAGTTGTCAGATTGTTTCTATGGTTCCTGGAGAGATTTGTACGAAATTCTTCGGGAAGTGCACTACAGATCGAACTATTCGAAAGAAGTGTATTTACTTGTTTTATTATTTTATGAATGTCGCTTATTAGTCGAAAGACTACTCTGGATCTGGACCAGATACCTACATATTCGAAAAAGTTGCATTTAAGGTTCGGCTTACTTGAAATATGGTATATGTATAAGTAGGCTTTTGCTTAGATTACCACGGAAAGTATTATTTTCACCGAGAAGTGGGCCAAGGGCTGAGGTATTCGAAAAAATATTATCAACCGATTCACTTGAAGTTTGATACAAAGATGGCTCTTTGCTTAAATTAACACAGGAAGACTGCTGTTCTCTCTGGGATCTACTTAAATTAACAGAAATCTCACTCTTCTCACCGTGAGACCGCTGCGGGTTCAACTTGAGTGCGTTCGGCTTCCTTCGAGGCTATCATATCAATTTTTTTTGTGAAAGACTTTGAGCAGCGAGGAGGGGACCAAAAGTAGTTGGATAAATAGAAAAGTTAAAGAAAAACATAGGTAAAATACAAAATGCCACAGCAACGTCTTAGTTTCACATGAAAAATCTTATTTAAATTATAATTATTATTTTTTTTGTCTTAACATACAACTGTTTGAAAAGAGAATGTAGACATTTTAACATATTTTATTTTTTTTAATCTTAAAAATATCAAATTGAAAAACGGTAGTGGCTTGGCCTTTTTCAATTTTTCACAGTGTACACAGTGCACTTGTGCAGTCTGTGTGAGAGAATCGATACGAGTGCTTTGAGAGAGTCAGAGATGTTGCTATTATCACTACATTTAATACCCAGTGAGAAATAAATATATATAAAGTGTAACGTTAGTATATTTTTCAATTCTGTAGCGAATTAATTAAAAAAAAAAATCAAAATGGCTTTCAATCATAGGCATGGAATATTGAGTTTACTCACCAATAGGGTGTTGAACTTGTGTGATCGGTGAGATGAGAAAAATATGTATATATATATATACATTATTTTTTATTTTTTAATTATATTTATTGCGGCTGATTTCCTTAGATACTCAAACGCTGGGTATAAAGTCTATTTACCGCTACGATATGATCGCTACTCGGGCTGCTCCGATTACACATTTCTCATATCTCTTTCAGTGGTTCATTGTACATAAAAACCTTTTACGATAGATACTAATAGCATACTCGGGGTTCTATTTGAAATCAGTACGCCAGCAGCTCATGACGAAAACACAACGCCTAGTACGTGGAGAACGTTGTCTTCAATTTCATTCAAATTCACGAGCATTTCAAGTGAGCGATGTACAATATGCAATTACGGTCAAGCGTACTCATTGGTGTCGCTACACAGTGCAAATATGTAAATTTAAACTACAATATTGCTAGGTTGACTGCAAATCAAGCGCAATTAAGTAAACGAAGGTGAATAATTGAAATTAATTCATATAGACACGCTCATTTACATATATATTGTATATTTACACAACTCATTGCACCTCAACTTGCAGCTACGCTTTGCGCGCTTACTACCATCAGCCGGGCACACGGCCACTGCGTTATGGCACGCTGGGACAGCATTTGCAGGAAACCGCTGCGAAATTCAGCGAGCGTACTGCGCTCATTTCATGCCATGAAAACAAATGTTACACTTATGCCGAGGTCACATGTGAAGCTGAAAAGCTAGCTGCGCAACTCAAGAAACTCGGCATGCGAGGTGGCGATATTGTGGGTCTCTGGAGTACGAACAATGCGCTGTGGTATGTGAGCTTTCTGGCAGCACAATTGGCCGGTTTGACGGTTGCTTGTATAAATCCCGCTTTGCAGCCGCAAGAACTAGCGTACGCACTGCAGAAAGCCAAAGTGAAGATGCTCATAACAAAGACCGAATGTGGGCTGTATAAATTTCAGGAAGTTTTGAAAGAGCTACTGCCAAATGCTGCGGCGAGTGGCACCATAAACAGCGATCAATTCCCACATCTTCGACACATCGTGCTGGATAGTGAAGCGTCTTTGTCTACAACACCGTGTGCTTACACAAATTGGCGTGAGTTGCTTGCCGCTCCATCGGCTGAGACGACACAAGTCCTGCAGCAGCTATCGCCGGAGAGCGCTTGTTGCATACAATTCACCTCAGGCACCACGGGTCTACCTAAAGTGGCTTTGCTAAGTAATTTTGCGTTCTCCAATCAAGCGTATTTCTTCGGTCAAGCGCTCGGCTTGGAAGCAGGCGGTGCCAAGCGTATATGTTTGCCATTACCGTTATTTCATGTCTTCGGCTTGAGCGTAATGAACGCAGCCATAGAACATGGCGCCACACTAGTATTGCCGAGCGCCAGATTCAATAGTGCAGCAGTACTTGAGAGTATATCGAAGGAGGGTTGCCACATTATTTTTGGCACACCCACTATGTATGTGGATATGTTGGTGCAGCTGAAACATCAGCAGAGCTTGAATAAAATTTCATTAGATACTTTGAGACTGGGCGCTGTTGGTGGCGCAGCATGCTCACCGGAGTTGCATACACAGGTGAAACAGTTATTCGGTTTGAGTGAATTTCGTATAGGCTATGGCATGTCCGAAACCTGTGGTGCATACTTCGTGCAAACGGGCACGGAAAGTGCTGATGAGGCCGTTACTACGGTTGGACGCCTGTTCGAGCATATAGAGGTGAAAGTGATCGATAATCAGGGCGAAGCTGTGCGTTTTGGCGAACAGGGTGAATTGTGTGTACGCGGTTACTTGGTAATGACGGAATATCTCGATGATGTGATGAAAACGAAGGAGGTGCTAGACAAGCATGGCTGGTTGAAGACTGGGTGAGTGGCATAAAGAGAGTAATCTAATATAAATATATATATATAAATTTATATAAAAAAAAAAATAGTGACAAATTTATACTCGAATCGAATGGCGTTGGTCGCATAGTGGGACGCATTAAGGATGTCATCATACGTGGCGGTGAGAATATATTTCCAAAAGAAATAGAAGATCACTTGGATACTCATGAGGACATCGTTGAAGCACAAGTAAATATACAACGAAACCGTTAGCAAGTACACAGCTTTCAATATCCATTCAACTATCTAACTTTCCGCAGATAATCGGTGTGCCCGATGATCGTTTAGGTGAAGAAATTTGCGCGTACATTCGGTTACGTCCGGACGCCAACCAATTGACACTCGAGAATGTGAAGGACTTTTGTAAGGGTAAAATAGCGCATTTCAAAGTGCCACGTTATATACGTTTCGTTAAAGAGTATCCGAAAACTACTTCTGGTAAGATAAAGAAATACGAATTATTGGAATGGTTCAAAAAGGAAACGGTAAATTAGTATGAAACGATTTTTGAAAAGATCGGATTTCAATATTATGATCATTTTTTTAATTATTAAGTGTAATTGTTTTTTTTTTATTATAAATATAAAAATAGAAGCCATATATAAACGTGAAAACTAATTCTTCTTCTGTTTTAACGAATTTTAATTAATAGAAAAATTTATTTAAATAAAACAAAACATTATTTTTGGTTTTTTTTTTATTTTTTTCAAAGAACAAATTTCATGTAATCTTCGCAATGTAGTCAAAAAAAAAAATAATTTTAAGTAAATTGAATTTTTTTCCTCATTTTCAAAAACCGAAATAAAATCTAAACTTATAACAAGATTAATTAATAGATATTTTTCGAACCCTTGAAATTACCTCTCAAAGCTGTTTGATGGCCCTGAAAGATTAAAAGGCAGAGATCGCCGCCTTTCAGGAAGTGCTAAGAATGGATCAAGCACAGAAAGAGCAGGGTACTTGTGATATATACTACAGCGCCAATATAAAGGAGCGGAAATGTGGTGTCGCCTCTTGTGGTAAGAGAGAGACTATGTCGCCGTGGACTGGCATTCACTTCGATTATTTATGCGCTGACGGAATTAAAGGACGGCGAAGACGTTCCATTATCAGACTACGGTGTGGTTCGAATAACTATTGTCGGCTTAAAGCACAACAAAACAGCTGGCGCTGATGGTGCACTGGCAGAGCTACTCAATCATGGTGGTGAAGAGCTGACAAGGTGTATGCAGAAGCTTCTTTGCAGAATATGGTCCGCCGATTGGAACTTATATATGTGTTGCTGTTTCGAATGCAAAAAAAAATGGACCTTACGAACGCGTCTCGCTATAAGATACTATCGAGGGTAATTAGTGAAAGACTAAAGCCATTCAACACAAATTGATTGTACCTTATCAGCGTGACTTTAGACTGAGCAAATCACCTTGCGCCAAAATCACCTTGCGCCGAGAAGGAAGAATCGATGCACATCACTTTTTCATTGATTTTCAAGCAGTTTTCGGCAGCAAAAAAAAAGGAGTTCCTTCTACCTCGCTTTGTCCAGATATGCAAAACTTATACGGCTGTATAACTGGCGCTGAGCACGATCAGCACCACAGTCAAATTCGGCAGGGACCTCTCCAAGCCGTTCGGTACCAAACGACGTTTCATAGAGGGGTAACGCTTTATGATGTGATTTCTTCAATTTGATGCTGGAGAAAAATGTCAAGAGCCGCTGGGGTAAACAGAAAAGGTACTGCTGGCGTACGCCAATCGCATTGATATAAAAGGCCTCAAAAATCGCGCTGGGAGTTCTACTTTCTCTCGACTTGCTAAAGAATCAAGACGAATGGGTTTCGCAGTGATCGAGGACAAATCAACTAATCTTCTGTCATTAAACAAATAGTCATCGAATTCGTGGATGGTACGATGACAACAACTGATAAGCCGTCGTTAGGAGTTTTCAAGAGAAAGGTTTTGAGTAAGACTTATGGTCCCCTACGAGTTGGTGACGGCACATACCGCAACCACTGGTACGATGGTACGATGATATTGACATAGTTCGTCAAATAAAGATACAACGGCTGCCCTCGCTATGTCATGTGGTACGCTTTGGCAGGTTTCGCTGGTGGAAGTTGAGGTAGGGGAAAACCTACACTCCGTTCGAAAGCCCAGGTGCAGAAAGGCTTGCTGTGCTAATTTTTTTTTAAATTGGCATCAACTGAGAAAGGAAGGAAGGAAGGAATGGTCCGTTATTGTTGATGCAGCTGTAAAGAAAACAACTCTCAAAGCTCAGATTTCAGTTATACAAATAATTTTTTTTATACTTTGAAACATTTTTCATGTAAATATTAGAAAGCAAAGATATATAAATTGAAGTAACATTTTATGAATTCCTTAATTAATAAAGTTAATTTATTAACTTTTCATTTAAGTGCTGAAACTGGCGCGGCTTCGGAAAGCTCGATAAGCAATATAACCTCAGAACCCAAACATAAAGCTCATAAGCAGAAATATTATTTATTATTATTATTATTATTATTATTATTATTATTATTATTTTGACTATAATTAATATTTTTTATTTTTTTTTATTTTTTCTATTTTTTAATTTTATACTTTTCGAAATTAAAGCCACTTTTGACGCACGCTTAAACTAAACTGAATCAACTATTCCCAAAACTTTGATAAAAGCTTTTTTAATACAAAATGTCATCTCTCTAAAGCCATCCCATTTTTGGGCTTTTACAACGCGAGATACAGTTAAATAAAGCCATCTATTGGAAAAATAACGGATTTCTTCTTACTACGCTGCTAAGATTAACTCATTTTATTATTATTATATTGATAACGCATGAACAAACAATCAAATAATATTTAATTAAAACAAGCTGCATACATGTTATTTATTTATGTATGTATGCTTGTTAATTTGTTATATGTACTCGTATCAGCTGAAAAGTAATCAGAAAAAAATTAGTTTAACCTTTGTACCGAGATAACAGAGGTTAATAAATTGTTTTGATCTTCATTTTCGCTCTCTGAGTTAAATTTTTATGAAGCTATTAAAATTAAAAGCGGCCGCCGTAGCCGAGTGGTTAGCATTGCGTACTGCCATTCGAAAGGCCAGGAATGAAAGAAAATGTTTGCCAAAATATGAAGACAGGAAAAAATTCAAATAAATTAAAATTTAAACAAATTAATTAAACTAAAAATAAAATAAAATAAAATAAAAAGTGTAAGCGACTGACGGTTATCGGTCTCAAACTTAGTCGTTTATTCTGAAAAAATAAAGAAAGCAAAATGAATGAATTTCGATTGGTGTTTTAATGCTGATGAACAGAAATATATTCAGTTTATTAGTTAATTAGGTTGTTCAATCGTGAATACTCTTGATCGAGCACTCCTAGGTCTGTTGGCTCGTTGTGATACTTATTGGGTGTCGATACAAGAGATTCGTTTCATTTTTCTTAATTCTAGTTTGTTCAATGCAGAACACCAGATTATTGACATTTGATGACGCTATGTCCGCGCCATCGAATCATATGCATTTTTGTTAATTAGATGAACGGAAGTAATACATTTCTGAACACGACTGATGATGAATTCAAGATGACGGTAAAAAAGGGTCATTCTAGTTGGTCGAAAAGTACGAGCTTTTAGGTCAAGAACGCAAATTTCGTGGCGTGAAAGCCGCCGGTGGTCGTTTCGTTGCTTGAAGGTGTTACCGACATCTACACTCTACAAGCGAGATGAACTTTTCATCTTCATCGGGTTTATTTGTCTCAGTTCCGTAGGAACCCATCCGATTATAGTCTTTTGAGATAACAGCGAAACCTGAGCGTCTTTTCGTGAACTCTCTGAGCATAATTTGATATAAATATCTGCTCTCAGAACAAAGCAACAGTTCTAGTTCGCGAAGAACTCGTTATCCGACAATTGTATCTCTAACAGAGACTGCTGTATTTTGGAATTCATATCGCATGTTGGAAAGTCTTCAACTTACTGATGTAATACTAATGTCTTAGCTCGTATCGAAACTTACGCGTTTATAGGCGATTCAATGCTGATGGAGCACGCTTAGTCGGTCATGTTTTTCACCTAAAGTCTGATGCGTAGCACTGTATGCCAATAAACTACTAGACAAGTTGATCGATTTGGTTCGTACCAATACCTTGAAAAGAGATATTTCGGCAAAGAATTTACTCACCAGATGGCGCTGCAGGTGGATACTCCTAAAAAACTGCTCTAAATTCCCAATTAAACTCATATTTAATATCCACGGAAAGCAAACAAGACACTGAAGAGAGTTAAAAAGGCTAACCCAGAACTGCAGTTTAAAGAGAGTTGCCACCTGCTTAAATTATTGATTAAAAAAAATTGTATGCAACGCTAAATTGAAATCTGTATGTGATGAGAGTTAGAAAAGTGTTTTCAGAGGAACATAATATTATTATTAAAAAATTCCACTAGAGAAGAAAATGCAGGTATCAAACTTCAGAGCAGACGGGGTTGCCAACGCTCCGAAATTCAAAAATTTAATTAAAAAGAAATAAACAAAAATTTATTACATATTTTCAAATTTGAAATTATAGCGAACAGAAGTTTTCTTGTGTGAGTACTTCCTTGCATGCATTTAGTTCGCTTTGAACTTCCTTTCAATTTTCATTTGGCGATGCACTTTCTGCACAGCATCTTTGATAGTCAGTTGAAAATTTATATTATCGTTTACACAGCCTCGAAATAAATCACCAAGCGGGTGATTTTCCTCGAAGTCTCTACTGTAATTTACAACATTTCTTCATTCAGTCATACATTATCTGTATGTATAAACACTCGAATTTTGGTCAGCTCACTCAGCTGGTGGTTTACTTCGCAGCGGATGTGACAAGTACTTATGAATTATTCAATACCGCGCTTATGTTCAATATCAACGGACTTACGGTCGGCTGGTGTGTATGATAAGATTCGAAAATGCCACTCCACCACCCAATGGCTCATTTGAAATACTTATAAATATACAAATTTTGGATTTGGTTCCACCAGCGAAGCATTTATGCTTGAATTTGAGTTTTGTTGTCACTTCCTCTTTGAATTGCATTCACTCAGTGTCTGTGCTAGCTGATAAGGTGTGTTAATAGCATCATACATATATACATATGTATATATATATACATAATACATACTTTAAATTGTTTGCTGGTGGTGTTTATGAGCTCCATTGACACTATGACTCGGTCGCTGACTTTATGGTATAGAGTTTTTAATTATCCAAATGTTTGCATACATACATATTTATATTGTATTTCACTACATATATTCATACATCCGTCCATTCTAAAGTAAATGTTTTATATTCGTGCAACATATCCATAATTTAAATACGAAAATATGAATGAGTTAAAATATATTTGTATGTGCGTGTGTATTTGTATAGTAAACATCATAAAAAAAGATTTGTCAAACGTCAAACGCGCAAACTGTTTTCGAGGGTCGCCTGGATGATTTATGCGCGTGCGTGCCGTTCACCAAGGTGCAGCGATTTGTTTATCTCTGCTGTCAGCGCTGAAGTGTCGCCTTGTTTGCTATTTATTTCCCACGGTGGCAATGAAATATTAAAATTAGAAATACCATTTGTTTGTGTAGGTATCGATTTTTATTATGAATAACCGTTATTTCAGGATAGACATTGTGGAGAAATGTGAACGAAATAATTTCGTTTTTACTTCAAACACTATAAAGTTTCTTCAACGCAGAAAGCTAAGTTAAAAAGCGGCAAAAATAAAATTTAATCAATATGAAAAAAATAAACAAAACTAGAATTAAATTAAATAACACCAAATAAAACAAAAAAATACAATCAAATAAATTTGAAATAAAAATTAAATATAAAAAGAAATCAATAAAACATTGTAAAACAAAAAAAGATCAAAAAAACTTAAATATATATTTTAATGAAATAAAACAAATAAAATAAAATAAAATGAAATAAAAAGAAATAATAAAAACAAAAAATTAAGTAAAACAAAGCGAAGAAAACAAAACAAAACTAGATTAAATAAATATAAATCAAACAAAAAAAGCAAAACAAAAATCAAATAAAAAATAATAATAAAATAAAAAAAATTAACAAAATAAAACAAAATAAAATAAAATAAACAAATTTTATTAAATTTATTTATGTAAATTGAAAAAATAAAATAAAAGAATGTAAAAAACGGTAAAATAAAAATTAAATAAATAAAAAAAGAAGTATTATAAAATAAAACTAACTAACAAGAGACCAACTTAAAAAAAAAAACAAAAATTAAATTAAATAATACCATTTCAAAAAATATTAACATGAAGTGGCTTATAAAAATAAAAAAAATAAATGAATCGAATAAAACAAAATTAGATAAAAAAAGTAAAATAAATGAAATATAGAGTAAAATAAAATAAAAAAATTAAGTAAAATGAAATAAGCGAAACAAGAATTAGATTAATTTTAATTAAGTTAAAATATTAATTATATGAAATAAAATAATAAAGTTTAAAAAATAAAATAAAATGCATAAAATAAAATAAAATGAATTAAATGAGACAAAAAATAGTTAAATTAAATTAATAAAACTGAATTAAATTTAAAAATAAAATAAAAATGATATAAAATAAAGTAAAATAAAACAAAACAAAATAAACCACAAACAATGAACAAAATAAAATAAAATAAAACAAATCTATTAATATGAAATAAAATAAAAAAATTTTAAAAATAAAGTAAAATAAACAAAACTAAATTAAAATAAATAAATTATTTGAAATAAAAATATTAAAAAATACTAAAGTGATATAAAATTTAGTAAAATAAAATAAAAATAAAAAAATTAACAAAATAAAAAAAGTTTTAAAAATAAAAAGAAACAAAATAAGCAGGAATGCAACTAAAATAAAATAAAATAAACGAAACCAAAATAAAATTGGTTCTATAAAAAATAATAACAAAAGAAATTAATAATATGAAATAAACTAAAATGATTGATATAAAACAAAATAAAATAAAATAAAAAAAAATATTAAATGAAATAAAAAAATATATAAAATAAAGTAAAATATAAAAAAAAAATTTAATAGAATTCAAACATAAATTAAAATTAATTTAAATACAAGATTAAAATTAAATAAAATGGAATAAAATAATCCATACGGAGTCAGTCTGTCACCGGGCGTATCATCAGATCGGAGAACGCTCGGTAGATATATCGGGTAGATGGGCAATAAAATAGCATTCGCGGGTCAAAACTGAAAATCAAGTTCGATTGAGTTTGTCTCAGAGGAAGCGGCGATACGATCAACGTCTGTA